GACAAAATTGCATGAGAAACCAGCGAATACATGTTCATATGCTCTTAATCCCTATTTTCTCTTCTCATTCTATTTTCAACCTCACGATTGAATGAATTGTAGACATCTTCAAAATAAATCCATACCTTGGAACACTCCATCCCTTTGCAAAGGTGGAAGTATGAGTAAAAGGAGCATGTGCAAGGTCTAGAAGATTGTCAAGGAGAAGCCCGTGCTCTACTGGTAGCTCCATCACAATCTACTCACATGAAAACAAAGGTAAGAATGTACTAATTCCCTTCAACATATTCCACATGTTTGATTGAAATATTTAATGATTAGTGTACAACATCATACCTCTGCATGAATTTGAAATCCCGGAGGAGGTTGCAAAGAAGGAAGAATAGCCATTGGAGGTTCATCACCTGGCCAAATCCAGACCATTCCTTCGTTTTCGAAACATGGTAAAGATTTTATTTGCACATTAAGCTTGCGGGTAGATGGCATTTTCTCACATTTTCCGTCAGTTGAATACTCCCATCCTGGAAAAAAAAGGTGATGTCAAGTAATGAAGCACTTGCTTATGGCTTTTTCCTATAGAAGAAAGTATTGCTGCAGAATATGACCCTGACAAAATTGATATTGATATATGTTTCTGGGCTGTGATGTTCTCTTGAAAACTAACAAAATATTAACCTTAAAATGGAGCCAACAGAAGTATTGGTCCCATTTTTTGTAAGTTCTGAATAGTGTCAACATAATACTGGAATAGCACCACATACATGTATATTCCCTAGCACTAACTTTTTCATAATTAAGCATGAAAATAAATTACATACAACCCCAATTGCTAAAATTAAATTCATATATCATCTTCCTTCCTCATACTTCATTTATATGTCCAACTGTGAAGAACACGGTCACTGCCGATCATATTGAAACAAATATAATAAGCAGGTATCATATTTTTAGTCTTACCGTGATAAGGGCATTGGATTCTTCCTTCATTCACTGACCCGAGATGCAGTGGGCAGGCTCTATGAGCACATGTATTTTGCAAGCATCCAGGTTTCCCATCTTTCCCTCTAAATATAACCCATGGTTCTTCAAAACAATCTATTGGTATCTGAAAATAATACATAAACATAAATTAAATAAAAAAAATTTCACCCTCATTTCTTATGGTAATTAACAGATAGAGAGAAAGATAGCTCACCATTGTATCCTCTTTTAGATCCCCAGAGAAAGCAACTGGATACCAAAAATTCTTCAAGCTGGGGTGATAAGGCTTGACAGGACCCGAAACATTTAGACTTTTTCTAGGGGATGCAGTCTTTACAGTATCCATAGATACTGAAGAAGTGCTTGGTGTAGGTGAGATTATGTCTGAACTCGATTCATTCGTATTTTTGTCTTGAAGTAATCTGCCATTAACCAAAGTTTCCATATATGCCAATTTATCCAGTGCAGTGGACACCCTTGCTTCTGATATATGAACCTAACCAATTTTATAATTCAGGGCTTTTTAAGATTGAAGCAGAGAAATTAGTTGGTAAATTTGAATTGAAAAGATTATTGTACCTGTCGGTGTGCTTGTGCTAGCTCTTGTTGCAACTGTGCGAGCTCTTTTTTTATAGTTCCGACCGATTTAAATTCCCTTGCTAAAGGGTTGAGAACCTCTACCACCTGAATTAATAAAAGATAAGATAGTGGCAATCAATAAATCCAGCCTAAACATGCAAGATAAATAAATCAATTATATAAAGATAGAATCCACTCTCGTCTATTTCCAAAGATACGCAGCCAATTATGTACTACGCCAATTATATAAAGATAGATTAGGGTCCCTTTTTATGCACTATGCATCAACCAGAGATATGCAGCCAATTATGAAGTAAATTTTTTTTCCTTGCTAAGCAATATCTGCTAACTGGGGGTGTAGCTCAATAAGGGTGAAAAAACAAAACAAAACACAACTTTTCTAACTGTTTTGCATGTCTTATATATAAATGTATCTTTTTCCTCTAACTGTTCTGTGTAGAAGTTCTTAAAGCTTTCTTGTTTACTGTTACAGGGTCGCAGAAAGTAGTTCACGTTCGAGTAGGACTTGAGACCCTACCACTACCAAATTATTGGAAATACACTCATGTATTCAATGAATCCTAAATTTAAATGCAATCATAGTCTGAACTTTAATTGAAAATTGAGGCATTGGGGGTAGTTCCGGGATGTTGTATAATCCTTAATCCAGTACATAATCTGAAACATGAGATAAAGTGTATGCCTATTTCAAGTTTACAAATTAGAACTGAAAGCTTTGTAAACTGAAAGCTTTGTCTATCTCATATTAGAAATCCAAGTCATGAAAATGTCCTTGTTCAACAATTCAACAGATCTATACAATAAAAACCGATTTCAATTTTTATTTCACATGAAATAAATTTATTAGTACCTTGTCATGCAGAATCATGATGGTTAACAAGTCCTGACGAGCTCTCCAATCGCAATATTGGATGTCGAACCTGGCCACCTCCAAAGCTTGGTTTGCATCAATGAATTTCCCCTTAGAAAGAGGTACCCTTGGCCGAGGGTCCTCCACTTCAAAAATTGCTTCCCATGTACTCTTTTTTTGTATACCGCCTACATCTTCTTCACCAAATACAGCGAACACTCTGAATCCTACTCTACCGTCACCCTGCAAATTCAAGAAACACAAGCCATTGTTACATTTAAGTTACTCACCGAAATGATAAGACTAATGGGGTTTTGAGGTTGGACCATTTAGTTTGATTTGGCCTTTTCATTTAATACTAATCATATATTAAGTAAAATGTTAATGATAATTTTTGAAATGATGTAAATGAAGGGAAATTGGGTCCAACTCCTCAACTCTATACGCTCAATTCTTTAAACAGGTTAGAAGAAACGGGCTTCTCAGATTATTAACGCCGACTATAATCGGTATCTTTAATTTAAAAATAGCTTTCTGAGCAATAGAAGATTTATAAACAAATGATTATCTGGATTCTTCTATATCTTCTTTAGGAAACAAACTAATATCTATCATATATTTCTCTCTGATTAATGTATGAAAACCATCTTTAGAAGTTACCTTAAAAAGAATCGTTTTTGAAACTTTAGAAGAAAAATTATGAAGCAATTTTACTAGACATATGTCAATTATGAAGAATTTAGTAGATATAAGTGTAAGAGTTTTATTTCTTTTCTAGATTAGTTTTTTTAAAAGACAATACTTGAGTTCATAAGACTGTCAGTGATCAAAAACCATATTTTTATCAGAGCACTGTCCCCAGTATTTCAAGAAAAATTGGGAGTGTAATTTCTGTTGCCAGCGAAACAAAAAAAAATGCTAAAATTGGGATAAAAATCGAAAATTGGTTCTGCTCTAAAATTACACTCTTTTTCTTGTTAATCAAACAATCCGAGAAAATGGGTCGTTAGATTTCACCCAAAAGTTCACATCTTTATGAGAAAAAAACTACCTTTTTTACCCCAAATTTTGATTTAAAAGAAAAAAACTTCAAATCCAATCGAAATATAGCTACCTTTTTAGAGTAGCGCTTAGAAGACGGCCTTCGGATTGCAACTGGGAGCAGAGATAGAGCTGAGGCAGCAGTCATGGCGATTTCCAAAGAGCCAATGAGAAGAGAGAGAAAAAAGATTTACAAATATATTTTTTTTGAGATTTCTATTTTTAGTATTTTCCTCTCTCTCTCTCTCTTTTGGGGTTAGGTTGCTTGCTGATAAGAGGCGGGAGTCGAACGCGATCCGAGTGAACCGCCCAATTTCAGACACGTGGAGTCGTCGCGGTGTCCAGTTGTCTACGTGGCACTCTAGTGAACCACAGATATTTGTGGGACCCAGCTGAATGAAAATGAATATCTTGCCACGTGGGACTCAACATCCTGCCAGCTAGGATCGAGTTGATATGATTTTTTATCTGCTCTTTGTTTATGATTATCCCCCTTTTTTAATAAAATAAAGTAAGAAAAGATGGATTTTAGTGTTTGTGTTGAGATTGATCAAACAAATAGATTCCATGAACCCCAACTTTTACTCACAAACAAAAAAATTTGAAAGCCATAGTAGGAGAACATGATAATCGATTATCTTATTTAAATGAGAGGGAAAATTAATATAATGAGGGGCTCCTTAGTTATTCACGCTTTATTAACAAAATTTAGGTGGTTCATATAATTTAGTGGTTTCCATGTCTTAATCCTTTATCTAGTTTATGAACGAATCCATGCTAATATTTTTTGTGTATATCTCTATATATAAATCATCAATGAACGATTTTACCGTTTCTTAAAGCAAAAGTCAAGGAAACTAGAATACGATAAGCCTCTAAATTGGATTAAATTCTAGTCGATCGCCATTCGATCACTTTAAAAAAAACAAAAGTCGCTATATTTTTCATCGAAGCTTATTTTTATTACAACCACATAATTCAAACTGTTATACATCCTTCCTTGTTTTGAGCACTAACATTTATATTTTTACTATATTCTGTTATGTAAATGTGAGAATTTTCAGATCCATTTCGAGAGTACCATAAAATCAATGTAAAAGCCCTACAATTTTTCAAAAAACTACAAATTGTGACAAGAAAGGTCAATAAAAGTTTGGGGGGGTGGGGGGGTTGATTAATTAATAGAATATCAAAACTCTTGAGAATACATTTCCATGTACGGACCACATTAATTGTCAAAACAAGCAGACACAAAAGAAAAAGAATGTTTCAACTTGTAAGGATTTCCAACAAAAAACTCGAATGAGATTTATATTACCAAGACATTTCTCTTTGAAAAACCTCCTTGTTCCAAATTTATATGTAGGCCCTAAACTTGTTCCTGTGCAACAGAAGTCAATAAGGACAGGATGGCAAGATTGTGATTTTAGAAACATCGATACAGATTCACAAAAAATGCATGATGGTTTTGGTGATTGAAGAGGGTTCTGTTAGACCCTAGAGGGGGGTGATTAGGGTCTTATGCTAATCTAATCCGATTTTATGCCAATTAAAACTTATTAACAAGTTATCCTAGTAAGTATGAAATACAACAATATATATGAGCTAGGTATTAACAAGTTATCCTAGTAAGTATGAAATACAACAATATATATGAGCTAGGATAAGCAATATGAACAATAAGATATATTCTAGCAATGAGATATACTATGAATTATATGCAATGATATATAAACTAACACAAGGGTGAAATAAACAATCTACAAATGTGATAGGGAAATTTACGATGGCGACAAGAATGTAATGAACACTAAGCACAAATGAAACGCCAAAGCAAACTCAAACACAAGCAAATGGTCACGGAGTTCGAACCTTCCGTCCTACGTCTCCGCTCCCCACTTCCGGGGAGAAATCCACTATCACAATCGGGTTTTCTACGCTCACCCGAATAACGTTTACAACCACACTATGTCGGTTTTCAACGATCACCGATCAACGTATACACTCACACTCACAATGTCGGTTTTCATCGTTCACCGATCAACGTCCACTCCTCACACTCGGTTTTCTAGCTAACCGAAAACTTTACAATCTCACAATTGTAACAAATATAAATTTGTTTTCTATAATAGATTGTTTGCGGAGAAAGTTGTTGTTTTCATTGCTATCGAATCTATTACAACTTTAGTCGTTACAATAAACTCGAATGAAATAAAAAGTCGATCTTTTTATAAGATCTCCTTACACAATGAAAATAAAAAAAGTTTACAACTTTATCAAACAAACGCAGAGATCGTTCTTCGGTCTTCTGCTTGCGTGGGTGTCTTTGCCTGTGCCGGGGTTTATCCGTGGACCACCGTCGGTCAGATCTGATTGCTGAAAAATTAGGCAGAGCTTCGTCTATCCGCGAAGGGATCGAGAAAACTGCAGCGCCTATCTCGATAAAAGTGAGATATTTGCTCTTCTTAGAATTACCACAACGGGATAATTCTAAGGATTGGATGCGGGTGATGTAGATCTGACGAATCTCTCTCTCTCTTGCGTTGAAGAACTAGATCCGATTTCTCCTCCTCCTCTCTTGAAATCTGTGCACTTTAAGTCTTCAATCCGGCAGGGCTTCGCCGAGGCACCAAAATTCTACCCCTCAAAAAATGTGACGCCCCTGGGTTCACACAAGGCTGCAGTCCAAGGTGAAACCAAGAATGTCAAACCTGCTATG